TTGGACTGTTCTGGATTTGGGATTGTCCCTCCAAAACAGCCGACTGTGGGCAAGGTGACAATAACAGGGATCGAATGACATTGACAGAGGTTTGCTTGATTTGTTTCAAGGTGGCCTTGGCCTTGGAGCGGACCCAGCAGCTCCAGGAGYCACCGGCGGGGCTCGGCTCCTGCAAATCCCCAAACCCTCCAGTTTCAGTTTCAGATGCGAATCCCGAGCCAAACTCTGCCCCCAGACCCCCTTCACCCTCTGCGAGCTTCCCCGGGGCTCCAAGGGCCGCTCACACGGGAAGGGTCCCCATCCCATCGCGGCTTTCCTGGGAATTCCTCCCAACCGCTGGCAGCTCCCGGGGTCACGCACGGCTCTCATTAACTCGGAGCTGCCCCAGTGGAAATTTACTGAGCGCCTTCTCCGTGCCAGARCCGGCCGAGCTCCCACCGCCGCCTCCTTATCGGCCCCGGAGCATCCCCGCTCTCCGCGTCCTCCTCAGCCCGAGCGGGAGGAGCCCCGGCCTCTGATAACGCACCGATAATTCAGGTCACACCTGGGAAAATGTCCCTTTGCGCCACATCGGCCACAAACTGCCCCTAAAACYGAGCAGGCCCCGGCCGGGTTTGGGGGATGCTGCAAACGCGGTGGCAGCACCGTGGAATTTTTTCCCCCTTGAGTTTTTTTCCCCCCGTGGATATTTTTTTTCCCCACGGGTTTTTTCCCCTGTGGATTTTTCCCCCCGTGGGGTGTTTTTTTTCCCCGGGCACGTTTTTGCTCGTGGCTCGTTTACAGGAGGAAGCTCATTAGAATAATTTGTCCTCTCCACGCTCCGGTGGCGCTGGTCCCTCTCCCGGAGCAGCTGCTGCACCTCCAGCACCGGGCACGACCCCCAAATCAGCCCCCGCTCCCTCCCTCCCTCATTCCCTCCCTCGCGTGGGTCCGACCTTGGGCACGCAGCGCCCCGAGGGCGATGGCACAGGGAGAAGGGAGGAGGATGAGGAGCTGCCAGCAGGGATAATGAAGGGCCGGAGCCCGGGATTGTGTTACACCCGGGGAAAAAAACCCAACCGCGGAGGAAGGAAAACGTGGCAAGGCAGTGCTGGGGCTGTCTCGAGGCATAAATCTGGGGCTGGCGGGGCTGCCTGGAGCTGCTGGGAGGGGGGACAGAGGCAGAACCCCCCATCCGAGCCCTTCCCAGCGCTCCGAGCATCTCCGCTGCCGCAGCAGCAGCCCCTGAACCTGCTCACAACGAAATTCTACCGAATTCGGGGGGGCTGCGTGGCCTGGAAACCCCTCCCGGGCTGGGGCGGGGGGTCCGCGGGCGGCGGGGGTGGGCACCATTGCTGGGGGAGCGGGGCCGGTCGCTATGGCTCCGCTGGGGCTGCGCTGGCTCCTCGCCAGCCCCCGGCAGCTGCGGAGCGAAGGCACTGGGCGGCCGGCCCGGGCTCCCGGCCCATGGACGCGTTGGGCGAGCGGGAACAAGGGAGCCCCGCTCATGCGGTGCCGAGCGTGGGAGGAGTGGGAAGGGAGTGGGGGAAGGAACAATGGTGGGAGTTATGGGAGGGGGACGAAAAAAAAAAAAAAAATAAAAAAATAAGGGAAAAAAAAAAAAAAAGGAGGAAAGCAGTGGAAAAATACCAGTTCTGGGCCCCTGGCAGCGCTGCCCGGACCCTCCCCGCCCCAGGATTATTGTACAAAGAAATGTTATTTTTGTTTCAATAATTTGCTGAGGCACTGGCATTCCAGCGCGGGGCTCGTTTTGTCCTCCAGCCCGGCACCAAGGGATCATTGTTCCTCCATGGCCAAGGGGCCGGACGCGGCCCCCCGGCACCGCCGTGCCCTCCACCGCCGCCTCTCCCCGCGGCCGCCCGGCCGCAGGTGCCCTCCGGGCTCGGTCCCGGTGGGTCCCGTCCCGCTGCGTGCCGGAGGGTGGGTGGCGRTGGCAGCGAGCCCCGAGGAGCGGGGTGGGTGGCGGAGGAGGGCAGAGCTGTCCTCGCCGTGTCTGCGGGGAGCGAGGGTGGGGAGGGGGCCGGGGCGTTGCTCCGGCTCCGGGGGCCCCTTTGAAGCGGGGCGGGCCATTGAAAGGCAGCGGGACCCCGGGCGGGGGGGCGGCCACGGCCCCTTTCTGTGCGCCCCCCGCGCTCCCCGGACCCACAGGCGGGGTGCGGCCTCACACAGGGAGCGCTGACCCCCGGCAGCGCCGCCGGGGAGCGGGGATGGGAACGGGAGCGGGGATGGGAGCGGCGGGGCCCGGTGACCGCCCTGGGGGTGCGGGGGGTCCCGTGCCGGGGTTTTTGGGGTGTCCATGCCAGGAGCTCCAGGGTGCCACGGCTTTTGGGGTGCCAGGCCGGGGGCAGCCGAAGGGTAACGGGCTGTGCGGTGCCGGTGCCGGTGCCRGGCTGGCAGTCCCGGGGGAGCGGCGCCGTGGGAAGGCGCCCGCGGGTCCCGGGCGCAGGAARCCGCCGGCCCGGGGCTGTCAATGGCCGGAAGGCGGCGGCGGGACCCCCGGACCCGGCTCGGGACCGGCCCCGGCGACACTTCCCCTTCCCGGGTCAGCGG